CGCACTCACAGAGAAGAGCGAATCTGGAAAGAGAAGACACCAACTATATATAGTTGGTCCGTGGTACGGACAACTCTGCTCTAGGAGTCGGTGAGGTAGAAATGTGGGCCATACATTCCAATTTCGACAGAAAACCTGCGTGCTCCTCTCGTATACACGAGCGCCTTTTCGCAATAAGGCGGTGAGCGAGAATGAAGGCCAGTTACCTTATTACTGCCATCCTGACGACACATAGTCAGCCCAAATGGTGCAACTGCCCTCATGAACACCATCACTATGGTCGTTCCGCCAGCAAGTTGAAACGGTTAGCTCTTTCTATGCAAATCGGATCAGGTGAGCCAACTAGTTCTTCTAAAATTGCGTCCTCGATGCCGAACAGTGAAGGCATGATAGATTCCAAAACAGTAATACCGTAATGCTTGAGGTTTGTGGTCGCGTACAGAAATCCATATTCAGTTAAATCCTCTATGCTATGACTCAACCTGTGCTGCAGGAGTGCAATGCGGTTGAGACAGAAGGCCGGCGCACTGAAAGACTGTATTACCTATTGTGAATTAGGAAGCACTCGTTGTGAATAAATTACGATGCACCAACTCAATTTCAACCGCGATTCGCATTGAAGTAAACCTTGATAGATTCGATCAGTAGGATCGTAGTTGAGGCAGATGCATATTGGATGTCGCCCGCCCGAAAACAGTGCACCCCACGATCTAATCAGGTAGAGATAGCAAGCAGGCGAACCTGGGGCCTCTGGGATCACATCTAAAAACTACCCCTAAACCAACAAGTCGCAGCCGGCAACACTTGTCACAGCAGTTAATGACTGATTGGAGGGGTCATTTTGAAGCACTCATTGTGTGTTATGAGAAACGCACTGTCGGATGGCTCTTTAGGTCAAAAACAACGTTTGGAAAATGATCAAAAGCTGTCAGTTTGTGAAGCAAACATCATTCATACTGTGCACAAATGGGATGCGCAATTTGATCGCGACGTCCTCACATTAGTTACCATATATTTTCTGCGTCTTCCGCGGCATGTTTGTCAATTGGTATGTACGTTCTGCTCGCTTCAATCGACTTCCGCTCCGTCTGCGTTGTCCGCTTTGAGTCGTGCTTTGAAGCATCAGCCCTCCATTGTCTGTCTGAATAGATCCCACGCTTTTTCTGCTCGCGGATGTTCCAGTCAACCTATTTCGCCTTTAATGCTTTGTTCTTTCTGATCTGAACCAACCTTGGTTCCTCTATCAGTTTTATTCACGTGTTCCTAGTTTGTGTCCGCAGCGACCAATTTGTCTCCGTCTTGCCTACAACCCGTATGTCAACTTCGTTCAAACGACCAGCTATTAGCATGCATGCACTCCCACAAGATCGCGAAGCCGAAACCACGTAAGGCACAGACCCTCGCATTCATGTCGGTGCATATGCACAACTAAACAGTTAAAACAAAGTAGTGACGTAGTGTTTCCGAGCCATGGAAATTGTGTACACCGATCTAAAGTCAATGCTACAGCAACAACTCAGCTTGATATCCGCTTTAACAGATAAACTCTCGAGTTTTCCAGTCCAGCCAGGTCCTGCTGGCAACTCTCAATTAGTTGATCATATTACTGGCGCTATCACAGAGTTCCTGTAAGAACCCGGTGCCCACGTCACCTTTGGTTCTTGCTGTAAGCGTTCCGATGAATATTTCACGTTTGAGCCGCTCCTTCAAAAATTGGTCACTTTCGATCATCTACACTACCTTATCAAAGAGCCCCCGAAACATTAGCCTTGCCGGAACGGTGCGGACGTTGTCACATAAATTTGGCGAACAGTCCACGCTATTCAACACCCGGTTCCAATAGCTCCAAGCAACCAAAGGTGATGCCAACGGATTCATCACGTACTCGGGAGGCGTCAATCATAAATACGAACGATTCTAACTTGCAGCGTTTACGGAAGACAAGTTCAAATGCTTGATTTTCATCTCCAACCTGCAGCTTTCCCAAGGTACCGATTCTTAAACGCGTCTCCTAGCCAAAATGAAGCAAAACAGTGTGGTCACATCCTAGATGCTGGCCGAGAAGTGTTAAATGCTGGTTATTCTGAAGCACCACTCAGCAGTGATCTAGAACGCTTCCGCACCTGGTTTAATCCAGACAGCCGCAATCTTCTGGGTGGTATAACCAACCCAACAGAGCAAAGGACACATAATTCCCGTTCCGAGTTTGAGGTGCTTGGAATTTCCACCGAGAGTGCGACTCCCGTCAGCACTAACGCTAAGGATGTAACCGGGTGAAGTACTATGATGGTAATTGCAAACCTACGTCAATCATGGGATCCAAACCTGGCATCGTCCACACTCAAGTCAGGAGACTCCGATGCAAACCAAAGCGGATATGGTTGGCAGCTACGTAAGCCAGCCGACTGCACTTCAAGTTCACATTGCTGATCGCAGGTAGTTCGACTTCTTGACCAACCGTCAGCCCGTCCGACAACAGTCTGACACTGTCTCGGACATTACGATTATCCTCGATAATCGTTAGCGATTCATTGGTTAGCTACCATTCGAGTCGACCTCCCAATCCGTCACCACTGCCTGTGGTGGTTGCGTGCAGCCAATGGGGCAGCAGCATTGGTCCGTCACTTTTCGGGGCGCCACGTTCGATGGGATCTACTACATCATAAAGGCGAAGCTCGATCTACTTGGTCTTGACTGGCTCGAGAATCTTGGTTTGGCCGATGTGCGTCTTCGGGTCATTTGCACTGCAGTACGACGACGTCATCAGATAGTTCGCCACCGTGATTCAAGATAAACTTGGTCGCTGTACTCAAACTCGGGACGGGTTACAGCTTGTGCCACCGGATCGACCAGTATCCTGTTTCGAAAGGCCTGTCCCCTACGCAGCCCTACCCTTGGTCGATACCGAGCTCAAACGATTGGAAGACATGGGGGAACTGGTTCCAATATCCCATTTCATCTTGGCAGCCTCGACCGCTGTGGTCGTGAAACCGAACGGATCTCCTTGCACTTGCGCTGATTTCTCCATTGGCCCTAACGCTGAGCTGGAGCCGAACTGCTACCCACTGCTTGTTTCAGCAGATTTCACAAAACATAACGGTGGCACGTGCTTCATCAAAATCGACCTAGCAGGTGCATACCTGCAGAGTGAAGTCGCGCCCGAGTCGCAAACCCTTCCGACGATCAATACATACCGCGGTCTCCTCCAATACAATAGGCCACTGTTTAATGTGGAGATCGCCCAGGCCATTTTCAACAAACGATGGACGCGAGGATCTCTGGCATTCTGGGTGCAGCGGCATACTTGGATGATCCAATCGTTTGTGGTACCATAGAAGAGCTTCGAAAGCGCCTGATGTGTCCAACTGATGTGTCCACCAGAATGAGTTTTGTCTGAAAGCAGAAGTGCATCTAAGTAGACCGGGTAGAGGACAGCGCATATCAAACATGTTAGGTTTTATCCGTACATAAGTGTTCTACAGTCGTAGAGTGCGTGGCAGCGAAGCGCTTACGAGACGCACCAGCGCACAGCCGATGCTTCCCTTTTCTTGTATCGTAAGGTTGCTATTAGATTGGTGACCATCAGCAGCAACTTCAACCAACTAAATTTACAGAACCCTGTGAAAACCACCGACATTGACCGTACGGCAGTTTCCAGGAAAATATATACAGATATCATAGTGCAATGACTTACTGTTCTTCAAGAGATTAGAAGCTGTGATGTTTGGGATGGTTTCTATTCTGATCTAAGTAAGCACATAGTTGCATTTAGTCAAGCGACGGAACAATGATATATGAACGAATCTACCATGGCGGCCTTCCCTGATGGAAAATTGATTCACGGCTCACTTTATCGTGCCAGCTTGTAATACTGGTTATGAAAGTGACTAGAAAGCCAATTTCTGTTTTGAAACAATCATCGTCACACTCACACCGTGGCCAGTAGCTGCAGTCTTAATCACACAAAACAATCGCATCACCTCTGGTGGTCAAATCGCTGGGGTTACTCCACGTATCAGCAAAGTCTACGCGGAGACCGTGGAATGCCAACCTGGCAGTCAAAGATGGGAGTACAACGTTGCGGTGAGGCCGGTGTTACCATGCCAATTGGAAAAACGGCAATTTAGCATAGAAGAGAATGATCGCCTGCAGGTAGTATTGGACCAAACGGCCGGTAGCCGAAGGTATGAGGTGCCCATTTTGTGACCCAAGTCACCGGTTCGAAGGCGCATAGATGCCGGCGATCTGGTAGTATTCCAAACCCGCGTGCGACTGGTGATGGTCGCGTGGCAGCGAAGCATTGATACTGTGCACCGACATAATGCTAGTCCCTCTATTTTTCTCGTTCAATTACACATCTTGTGGGAGCACTGGGTGAGCAATGTTGGAGACCTTCAGTTGGCGTATAAGACGAAACTATCTGGTGTGGCATTGGATTGCCCACTAGACTTAAATCGCCTATGTTGGCTAGGTCATGGTCGGTGGATACCCGCTTTTCTTGGTATACACTGTATTCCGGCACTACTTAGATGGGTGAGACCGTGAGGTCGCCAGCCGATGATGTAGCAGTCGTCGAATGATTAGCTGAGATATTTGATCAGGGTTATACGGGACTTTTGTGGAAGGGAACCTCGGGATGGCGCACACTAGTGGTTTAAGCTTCTGGGACACGGCGCAGTAGATGAGTCAATAGGTGCTATACATATGGCTGTTAGCCTTCTAACGCCACTAAGTTTACCTACTGTTTGAATAATACTTTTCTGTATTCCGCTTTTCGCCGGGTCTCATTTTTCCCACCATCGTTACCTGTTGGTAGTATAGTGACGTGAATCGTAACACACATTTGGAGCGTTCAGATAAAAGTTGTTTTGGTGGAGTGAGCTGAGTCCCGGTTCTGTTCAATTTGGGTGTACGAGTGTTACTGTCAGCCACCAGCCAGGCAGTTCTTCCGGGGTTAAAAGAAACAGATGATACCCGAAAATCAAACATATTATACCTACCTTGAATGTTTTAGATTTTCTTGTAGCGATACCGGGGGCCTGATTTCCCGGAGCGTTAAGTGATAACTCATCGTCGATGCGGGGTCCAACATCACTGGAAGTGTTATTCAAGCTGAGAGCTAGGAGAAAATACCAAGGTAACAAGAGCGGTGTAAACAAAATATTGCTGAAAACGCAGTTAGGGTTAGAGAAGCTTGAAATTAAATGCAGGGAAGTTCTAGGCTAAATGGTTAAGAGTACTTGAATTCAAAAAATTGACATGGCTTGCTACAGGTCGGGAAGGAACAAGACGGTGGAGGGTTGGTGAAAGTCATAAAGATCTAGTGATCCGTGCCAGATAGGCGGACTGAGATTAGTTTCCAAAAGCACGCTCTATAGTGTGACCTATAGCGGAGCTGAGTAATAGGGATAAAATAGGTAACACCGCTATATACCAAATCTGAAAATGAAGAAGTCAATCACCTAAATTATCATACTACAAGTCAGCTGGGGGTGAAGGACAAGTTGATTATCGTGCTGCAATAAAGCATAATTAAATGGCTGTAGAAAATAAAGCAACAGTAGTAAATATATGTTGTTTCATTATGCGCATGTGGTGAGATCCTAGGTAAAGGGAAGATTAACCAAGGAAAAGCATGAAAAGAGATTCACAATACAATCGCCATGGCAACAAGTGTCCCCAAGCGAATATGTCCAGTCGCTCGGATCCAAACCCGGGAGTCGGGATGCATCCACCAAGGCCGAGTTACAAGTGAGGGTCCCTATTACTCTCGGCCAAGTCATCGGATGACCTCCCTTCCCCGTTTTGATTTAAACCCTGCTCGCACTAGCAACGCACACCGCGGGAGTCGGCATGCGTAACACATGACCCAGCCATCGGAGTCTGGTGAGTGAAATAACGGTGCTGAGCAGTTCCCTAATTTCTGTTGCATCATAAACATAACGCCGAACACGCTCAATGTTCGTACTGTGTTCTCAGCAGATATGAGCTAAACTACGAGAGCATGGGTCGAACACAATGTGCCTGTTTATGTCAGTCAATCAGATTGGTCAAGTTTCGCAACTGCACAGGAGGGTTGAATGGATGGAAGCATTGTAGACTCTATTCTTCGAAGCGCGGGGGTGTCGCGCAGGCGCCACAAGTGGCGGTTAGCAAAACACGTCAACACTTTGCTATATGACTCGTAACCACAATTTCTACTCAACAAGTGCTGATATAGCTGTCCAAGTATTGAACTTTTGAAGGAATTCTAGTTGATCCTCACTAAAGGCCAGCGTACAGTTTAGTATCTGCCAAGGTTGGGGGAAAGTGCTGCGTCTCAGGAGTGAAAACAGTCCGAAACGATTGACAGTCAGTAGTTCTTGACACGTTTGTAGACCAACGCAAATGGGGGCAATACCGCTGGCGCACTCCAAATCGAGAAGTCGACCACATGGAAGTAACTCCATACCCGGTGTATCCGGTGAACCCAGTTTCCATAACTTCGTCGAAAGCGTATTAGAAATGGTGCCCATGGACGCTTTTGATCCATATCACCGGAGATATTGAAAGGTTAAGACAATCTGCTATAATCTATCACAGCCTAAACTACGAGCAAAGCATCTATATCCACGTATTTTTGGACAGTTTGACTAGCCAGACAGTCCGATGTGATGAGACTGGATTTTGACGTGGTTCGACGGTTTGTGTGCCTCTTCGATCCACCAGCTGTACAGAGTTGTGTCCTAGTGTCCCTTGAAAGATATCCCTACCAGATAGGTTAATGGTTAGAGGTCAGACAAACTCATGGTCTCCAAGTTGGGAGGTTTGAAACGGAATGCAGTCTACTGTAAAACCGGAGTATTGTCACCTCCCGCCCGTCTTGCGGATAGGTCTTTGAACGAAAGGTTTGGCCAAGGACCCTAATCGCTTTTCAGACTAGGTCTCCGCGCTCTCGCATAATCCCAGCCCAAATACAATCATGGATATTTCACCAAACTTCAAGCACAACCTGCATCGGCTGCCGTGTAGCTTCAGAAGTGTCGCCTTATCTGCTGCATACAGTAGGTGCCTCCCCTTCTTTTTCTTACATGTTTCTATTACCCTGCTACTGACCCTCATTACTAACCTTCCTATACTTAACAGCTATATCATTAGCTAATTTCCCGCACCACCCACTAGACGCCTATTGAGGACAACCCTTCATAAAGATACGATGTTCCGGTTAACCGGCGGTGCTCAAGGTTCGCTTTCTAAGAAAACTAGGTCAACAGGTTGCAGTCACACGTACGTTTTACATCCTGGATATCGACGTCTGTCACATGTCCGAAACTAGGATCAATGATGTTCATCTGATCGCTGACATAACTGAGCCCGCTTTGTACTCACGTTATTGGTTACATGCAACTTGAGACGCTACCGAAGCAACCACAGTTCAAGTTGGGGCAGGTATTGCTTTCAGTTCCAAGGTTGCATTATCGGTGGTTGTTTGGATTCCTGTGAGCAGCCAGTCAGGCAACACCAAGTAAAAGTAACTTACGGAGTAGTGTTGAACTTTGTTTGTTTGTAAAGAACGAGAATCCTGGATGAGGGAAGAGTAAATCACCGTCAGGGGTGGATCTGCATGGACTGTGATGTGTTAGAACAGCAGTACAGGTGCCACAGATTGACAATAACTGAGTTCCAAGACATCGAGAGTGCGTTCGACTCAGTCGATAGATCTCTCAGCTCGAAATACTTGCTCCAAAGGGTGTTCCCATAAAATGGGTGCACATTATGCGTGGCCCGTACTCGAACATAATAGTTTGAGTCACGGCCTACGGTGACTTGTTGGATATGTTCCGACAACAAGCGGCCCTCGTTAGGGCTGCCCAAGTTCCTCATGTTTGTTCAAATTAGTCGTGGACAATATCATGGAGTGTTCTCTCGTTGAACCTCAAGGTGCAGATGTTGATATGTTGTCTGGAGGGAAACTTGTTGGTTTTGATTAGTCGGGCTACATGCTCTTGCTGGTTGGCGATCATGGTGTGGTCCAATCAACTATGAATAACTACTATAGAGCGTTTCCGTCATTTGGCATGAATTTCGTACGTTCAAAGTGTAAAACGTTGATGCAGGACCTCCAACCGTCTGATAATCCTTAGACTCACAATAAGGAAGAACTCGAGGTAGTTGACCAATCCGTCTAACTTGGCAGATGCATAAGCAACGAGGGGCGCATAACCACTGAACTTTCCATATTGTGAATTAGAACCGCACTGTTGTACTCTGACACATATGGTGTAAGAAGCGGATTTATCTCGGTTTGAAAGGCCGTGCACAACACCAGTTACAGCTATCTTACTCAATGGACCTGAGAGTTGGTGTCTGAGGATCCGACGCGCCTCAAACTTTTGATGAGCGTTCCCTGCGGAGAATTGCTGGTGTCGGATGGCACCAACGTGCCCGAAGCGATAACTTGCGTGGGTAAACAGCCAATAGCCCTGAATAAGTTGCTTCGTCTTGCGTACGTATTACGCAGGATTGATCACTGCTTACTGAAGAGCCCTGTTTTGTCAGCCGGTGTGGTGGTAAAAGGCACGGGGGAATGTCGAATTAGGCATCAGCATCGTTACCACGAAATCATCACCAGTCGCAGGTGGGTTAAGGATACCACGAACGGCGTCCGGTCCCTCACGCAGACTCGACTCGGTGGTTTCCGGGTTGCAAGACAGATGCCATGTCCTCTCGGAGACCGCCCAAAAATACAGAACGCTTCACGATATTGCGTGTTGATTTGGCAGTGGGAAATGAAGTCACTGAGCACTAAGCTCGGTAATGTTGATGCATTTCACCTTTCAGACAGGAGTCCACGTGACGCCCCTCGAACTTGGCATGAGACGTTACGGGAAACAGCTCGCAGTCGACGACAGTGACGCGTCTGCTGTCGTCTCGTAGTTTGAATTCCTGTCCAAAATGTATTTCGTGCTGAGTTATCTGCGGGATAATGGATTTTTATGACGCGGAGCAGTGAAAGCCGCAAGGAAACCGTTTCGCCGACGCCGCCTTATCTTTGCACGAGGGTCAGCTTTTCAGACGGTACGTTGTTGGCAAGGTGTGATCTCCTTGACGCTTAATGTTTGCTAAACGCATCTTGACTTTACGCGAGGTCTCACTTTCCTTTTCTTTTCCTATTCCTTGTGGTTGTATGGTAGCGAGGCACCAATTCAATTCCATGATGTACCATTGATGGTGATGAATTAGACAGTACCGAAGGGTACATCGATAAACAGAACTAAAAGTATTCTGATGTGAAAGAAAACAGCTAGGGTGAATAGCCAATGCAACTGGTAAGGCTGGGAACTGACGTTAGTTAATATCCAGTCAGAATAGCCTCAATGTCGGCGAAATCATGCCAGCTCTTCGCGAATTCGACGTATACGGACTATACAGGTGAGCAAACTGGTCCATTCTAAATGTAAAACCCCATCAAAATTGGGACTATAACGGAGCAGCTCCAGACGGCTAGAACAGTGTACTGATCACAGTTCTAGTAATAAAGTGTAAGATGTACACAAAAAATGGACCCAGGATTTAAAGAGAGAGCTAGAGCAAATCCAACTGGTTCTGCGGAATTACGCAGCATTCGAAGTTCGATCTCACAAAACCTGCGCACGAAAATGGAGCTAAGGCGACGGTCAATGGAGCGGGGTGATTAATGACCGACAAAAAAGCGCATGTTTCTGAGTAATTAGGTTGCTTTTAAAGATATTCAACTCTGCGCTGTAAGCATGTTGACAAATTGCGGATAGGCTGTCCCTTCTCGTTTCATGTGGCTTCTTTAAGAGCAGGTATCCCGGATGAGATAGAGTAACTTCGACTGTTATCAAGAATGGCAGACGCACAGTCGTGGGGCGATTCGCTGAGCTGGGCAAGTTGGTTACAAACGGCTCGCCGCTGAGCGACGTGAGGTTATTCGTGCGGCCGCTTCACCTATGATGCTTGATGAGACCGTCAGGCCCCGCGGTCTCTCTTCAGAATAGTATTCAAGTCTGCACGGATAATTTTGCGAGCCTTGCTTATTCGCCTCTAACCGAAATGCGTCGATGAGCAATAAGAATGAAGAAGCGTGTACACCTCGCTTCAAAGAGACTGTTGTCGCAAAGGGCCAAGTCACAAAGTAGATATTGTATTCACTGTCTGACGCAACATAAATAATAAGGCGATGAAATACTGAATGAACTTTGTAACTGTTTGATGTTCTTACATCAACTAATTAGGCGGAAGTATCAAGGATTTTGTCAATAGTATTTGGACCAACGCAACAGCTTGGTGGGGTTTTTGCAACTACTGTCATCAGCTGAACGAATTACGATACGAAGCGGAGGCCGGATTTTCGGAATTCGTACAATGCATTTTATATTTTCGCAGCGAATATCCGGTTTTATTGGAGCATAAAAGAAGCGACTGTGTGGTAATCCATTGTCCAGGCCGCTAACCAGAGTGACTGCATCAAGAAGCAGCTGCGGCTAATAGCGATTGTTGAACTTGCCCACAGTAACTTTTGACTGGGTTCAGCGAACACCTATTCAGTTTGTGTGCAAATACACGCATTCAGAACATCTGGCCTCACTGGTCGGCAGGTTTCCATTTCCTCACAGCGTCGTCGTGGGTGTGCCGCAACGCGCTTGCCGATCGGCGCAAATATGAGAATGGTCGGAGTTGACGATTGTGCCCTAAATCGTGTGGTAGTTTTGAGCGTAGGTTTTCCAACGGCAAATGACTGCGAGGTGACCAATTTACGTTTACTAATTGTGGGCGCCATGCAGCCATACAGTAAGTGCTGTGTCAGAAGTCGATGCCCCCGAAAAACCGACTAGATGTTCCGCGCGTCTAACAAACGTACAGAATGATGATAGAAAATCTCAAGCTGAATCTTTACAGAATCTGCCAGTATCTACAGCGAGTAAAGATAAACGATTAGCCAGATTAGGAATAAGCATAGAAGTAGCATATCTTGGATAAAATAGTTCGAGTAGTATACCGAGGAACAGTTATTATCCGGGGACCGCAGTGCAGTGGATCAAGTTACAACTCATGTCGTCAGAGTAACAATAAATAACAATAGAAAATGAGGTAGAATGCGAATAGGGCGCAAAAATGGAAGCAATGGGTGCGTTAAAGTAATCGGGATGAAAGGAAAAGTAACAGCTAGATGCAATAAAGCGAATGCAGGAACGCCATTGACTGGTGTGGAACATCCCGGAGCCCCCATCTCCGAAAAGAACACGCACCAACAAGAACAAATCCCTAAATCAGTGTCTTCATACCTTTATGCCATGTCATCAACTGGTCACGTTGCGGGTTTACCTAATTTGTTGTAGCCTCGGTGTATAATGCACGCCGAGGAAGCGGGTCGACGGGAATACGGACATGACTTAGCCAAAGTAAGCGGTCGAGCTTCAGCAAACACGAGTGAGGCACCGAAAGGCTCATTGTTATAAACCAACTGGTGGACCTCTGCAATGCTCACTCGATGTTCCCACTATACATGAACAATACTCCGTAAGCGCCCGTGATGAAACACAGCAAACCAGTTAATGTCTTCACTGCGAACTGACCAGGTCTCTGATCCGTGCAGTAATACCGGCTTTAGCACAGCGCCATTTACTCTGTCTATAACTGGCAGGCTGATATCCCGCAGTCACCTCTGAAGTGACACACTGGCCTTGCTGATACGCCAATTAACTTCCTCAGTGATGGGACCACCAGGGAAGACATAGCTACCAAGTGAACCAACCTACCACTTCCAGAGGCTGTTCGCTGATAGCTAAAACTGGTGGTGTATTAGTCCAGCCCTGAAACACTACTTCGTACTTTGAAGGTGCAAAACCAATGCCAAAGCATGCAGCACTACGTGTCAGTCTACTCAGCTGCGCTTGCATAGCGCCAGGAGAGCTAGGACCGTCTATTCAGAGCTTGTCAGTTGGTCACCTGGAAGAGCATCCATTCCTGAAGTGCCTGAAAAAGGGAGTCACTCAACAGGACAGGAGATATGAGACAACCCAAGCGAACACGATTTATTGTGGAGAACTAAGGAGACAGCATCAATTAGACCCTTAGGCGGCTTCGGGAGTTACGGTCGGGAGGCCACAGGATAAAAGTTTTGCATACACTTCTTTCAAGGATAAGCAGTAGCACAAACCGGTTCGACCAACAGAGTTGGTGGCTTTCAAGTTATGGAAATATTAATATAGTCGGTTGTCTGTAAGTGTGCATCGAGACATACCACCAGTGCATGCTCCAACACTTGACGAAGAGTAAATATGTGGTCGATGCACCAATGACCGGGGTGGAGACCAGCGTAGGTTGCAAGGATTCAGCTCTCAGGATGTCCAGTGAGTCATCGAAGAATGATACCAGTGGAAGTGTGAAATGAGATTAATATCTCGATAATTTTTGTACAAAGTCGGTTGACCATTTTTGAAGATGGGCACGATAGTTGGCAGTCTGAAGGCAGCTTTTTAGTATGCTAAATCGTGTTGAATAGAGCAGCAAGTTCAGTCAGCAAAGATTCACTTCCAGCATATAGAAACGACGGTGTGGTCGGGTTTAGGAGAGTAGCCTCGTTTTATCCGGGAAGCTCATGTCGAAGCTTTCCGAAAACTGAATGTGACACCAACTTTCCACGTCGGCTCAGGTGATACAGCAAACGGCAGTGTCGCAACTGAACTGATCTACAAAATGTTTCGTCTAACAGGAGGCTATGAATAAAGCAAATATCTATCTTTCTCAGCTATTGTCGCACTATGTGTTGCTACGGACTCGTGTTTTGGATGAGATGGGACACCACTGTTGTTTCACATAGCGCTGGCTTTCTACCTCTCACAGGCCCTTGCCACCCACCAACAATCCCGGTCAATTCTAAGACTGTCAGTCGTCGTTTTGGGGCATTATGGATACACTGAAAATCAATACCCAAAGGAATGTTTGCGCGCTTCGATCAAATTACTTGAGTTCTCAGTATCATACATGCTTACGATGCACAACAGGCGTCAAAAGCACTCTTCATGGCACAGTCAGCATTGGGCTTAGCCACCTCATCCATCACTGACTACCGGCGGGCCAGTTCATCATGGTATTGTTGAAGTGCGGACTGCGAATTTAAGCTACAATTGTGAGGGTTAGAAGCTAGGCGCCTCTGAAGCGAAGTAAGTGCTATGCGCGCGCACTAGAACATGATCAGAATCCATGCAGTACTCCAAATTGACTGACAGTTTTTGACTGATGTACAGCATCTAGAGCTGATGGCAATATGGTCAATTTAGCCCAGGTCATGGAAGAAGCTGGTGGGAACCAGGTGACAGGATGTGAATGTTTATGCTGGGAAGCAGTGTTGCTACTGGAAAGATTTTGGTCGACAGTAGCAGGAATCGCTCGCCGTTGTCCGTTCGAGGTGTGACCCCGAAGCGGCGACCAAGTTGGGCTTTCATGTTACCGGCAACAATCATGACAACATCGTTCGCCATGAGAACCGATATTAGAAACAGCCAATGATAAACTCTGAAGTGCAGTCAGTAAGGACATACAAGGAAATGATGAAAAAGCATTTCGCTTTGAGATAACGCTCATTACTCCTAATAGAGGCTAGAAGTCGAATAACACATGTGGCTATCCACTGGCATACAGTCGAGTAGACTGACTGCTGGTGGCGATACTGGCATCACAAATATCGGATAAGTGGTGACTGTCGGCAGATTCGGATCCAGGGAATCGAGAATACGTCAGGGCGTTGTATTTTATGCGTATCGGAGACAGCGCACATAAATATCAAGAATGGTTGCTAGCGCTGTCTGTTGGCTTATCTGACCCACAGTGAGGGCGCTAAATGAACTGATGTGAAATGCTATGCTTGGTTTGAGTGAAAAAGCCGAATTGTGCACCAGGATGTAAGCAGATGAGCGAAATATCACCTTTCTGGTTCCTCGTAGGTTCGTCAGTGCAAAAGTAAGTGGCTTCAGAAGCAGTAGCAGCATTAACTCTGTGTTCTGCAAAGAAATCACATGTTTTCTCTGTTGGTGGCTTGTCAGCATCATCGGAGATATCAATGTGGAGCTGAAGATGAGAGTCAAATGCAGTGCAGTACCTTAGAACCATAACGCCTAGTTGCGTCCAAAGCAAGCTTTTCCAGTTTTGCGCGATAGAGCTCCGCTGCTCTACTTTGGTATTTTTCTTGAGCATCTACAGCTCCGAAGTTGTGCTGATTGAAGAACGCACGCTAGAAAGCGTAAAGCTGAAGTACAAAAACCTACGGCGCTCTCGTTACCTCCGACTTGCATAGCACGAAGTTGAACCCAAGTCCAGTTAGTATCGAGCTGTGTGGATCGGATGAAACTTAGGTGAACACCGAGAGAGCGGTGGACAGCAGAACAGTCGATGCAAAGGAACACACCGTACGTAACGCTGGCCCAAGTGGGATTAGTGCCCCCGCAATCAAAGCATCGCTAAACATGTTTATGAGCAAGAACCACCACAAATTACTTTGTTGCAAGGAATAGATTTCAGTTTGGTAAGAACAGCGCTGATTTCATGCTTCGTCGGTTTACTTGATGACGACATCACAAGTCGAGAGAGATGCACTATCCACAGACACGCAGCGTAGTTGGCCAACGGGATTCAATCCATGGAGCGCCCATCACATGTGACGTTAAGAAACGGTTTGGCAGCCTGTCATCTTTGTAACAGTGTGTTATCAAAGAAAGCGTACAATAATTGTGTTGCAAAATATAATAAACTTACTACCAAATAACTAATTAACTTACCTGTAAACTGCGGATAGCGATCTCTGTTGCGTTTCGTTACCGTCCTGGAGCTTGGAACATTGGCATATTGCATTGCATGGGAAAAGTCCGGGGCTTTACATGACCCATATGGTGCAAAGAAATAGTGTCGGGTCATGTGGAAATGCCAAGCAACCTTATAGCGAATTTTATACGCGTGTTTGTCGTCTCTTCATCGGGCATTTGTGGCATTTGGACAGAATGTACACCGGCTCGATGCAGGACACCCAGCCACGCCCTCTGCTGCAGCTAAAGAAAGAAAAGTAGCAGAAGGAAAGACATTCCAGTAACACGTAAATCGGGATCGTTAGGGTAGAGGAACCAGCTGTTGCGCATTGTGAGAAGTGGCTGGGAGATGACTGGGCTAGTCTAGGATATGGTATTCCAAACTGCCGAGAGTTGTTTGAAGGGAGATTACAATGCCGGCGAGCTTTGAAATCAGCAACAGAATATGCCGCCATTACGTCGGCAAGTAGGGCTTTCCACGGTCGCATGACTCGCAGAGCGCCGAAATGTCGTCTGCAGTTCACCCGGCTGTGTTGGTGTTTAAGCCGGTTGAAGACCACGAAGATGGGCGCAAGAGTGGTGCGGTTTCAGTAAGTGGCGGCAAGGGTGTCCGGGGTTGGATAGGATCGCAGGTACGCGGATCAGGTTGCCCCGAAGCCGTCGGTATTTCATGGAGATGAGACCAAGGCGAAGGAGCCGTTGTTGACAGTCCAAATGTCTGAGGACCCGTACCAATCTTGACGTTAGACGTTGTGAGCATTCAAACATATGCTGGGCTTTGAGCACAGTGAACTTTACGTGCGGATGTAGCAAGGCGTTTAGGAGGAGATGGAAATTCTGCGGGTCGCGTTGACAGAAGGCACGTTATAACTGTCCCAGCATGACGTTAGCAGCGGAGGCTGCCTTTCAGCATGGAGAGGATACTGAAAGGTTGGATGTGGTGATGATACCTATATCTCTTGTAGCTGATGAGGCCAAGCGAACAGACGCTTCCTTGTAGAATACTGGAGAAGCGGATGGGCGGGTGGAGCGGAGGTGAAATTTCGAAGAATTACACGGGAGGTTGCTTTCCATTGACCACTGGTGCAGACGGTTTAGGTCTCTCTGAAGTGTACGGGTATCGTTTGGAGCAGTGATCGTACGCCACAGCTTCGCGTCTCCGGCGTAGAGCAGCATCGACGACTTGACTTATCAGGTGCTATTATTGATGAATGTAAAATATTCCGGCCCAAGAATGGACCCCCGTGGAACTCTGCTTGTCAAAAAGGCACGAGAGGACATAGCTCCGTCGACGCGCATGTTGTAAGGAACGGGGGTGGAGGTGGTTCCGGATCCAGTCCATCAAGGTCCCAGAGATATAGCAAGACGACAGTTTATGCATTAGAATGACATGGTCGACGTTGTCCAAAGCTTTGGAGAAATCTAAGAACATGAGTTGCGTTTCCAGGCCGGGGTCAGCTCCAGTCGTCCAGCTATCCCATGCGAGTGGCAGGTTACTCAGGCATATCCGTTGCCGCCAGAAGCCGTGCTGGTAGCCAGAAAGCAGTTTCTCTTAAAGTATCCGCGATTAACGATTCCATCACTTAGGAAAGCATAGCGAAGCATGTTATCGGTCGGTAGTTGTCAGGGTCCTTACACGTGCCACGTTTGTAGCTCGGTGTATTTGTACCTCACTTCCAATGGTTGAAAACTTTACCACGCAAGAAGAAATGGGTGAACAGCTCCGTTAGATGTAAACCAAGAGCTGCAACGCATGTTCGCAGGATTCTTGGATAGAAACCACATGCGCATGGGGAGGCTGTTACCAGCAAGGATTTGAGATTCCCCAGGATCTTCTCGGGATTGAGCTGGACAGTTTTCATTGTCCTTGCAGCTGAGGCCGAAGTATGTTGCGTCATTGTGTAGACTGACAGGACGGAAAACACAGACGCGTAATATTGGCACAGGAATACATCAGCTTCGTACGCTGAGTTTGTAAACCTGGTGGGTGTCGTCAGCGCAGTGACACGGTGCTTGATTTGCCGAAGGCGGTTGATGTGACTATAAAGGCTTTTGCGGTTTGCAGAAAATTTGCGTTCAGGCTGCCGCTGCCGCTCATGTTTAGCATAGCGTATACGCTGGACGCAGTAGCTACGGAGAAATCGGTGGCCTTCCTTGTGTGTAGCTGTTGGACAGGAACGATATGGTCTCCTTGCCACATCCCTGTGGGCAATCTACTTCCGGATCCGACTTCGGACGGGCGTGACCCGTTTCTTAATTATGAAAACCTGTCTGCTGGTGGTGGTTAAGGGGCACAGTTCGCGTAGCGTAGTGCAGAACGTTGACCGCGCGCTATCGGCGCTCAAGTGAGGTTCCGGTAAAAGTAGTTTGCGGAAATGGGCGTGTTTAAGTTTTCGTAAGCTGCACAACGTTTCGCGTAAGTCAGCGGGCAGGCAGGCTTTATGGAAAATCCTACACATTCGTACCGGAGGGTACAGTGATCGCTGAGCTCCAAAGGTTCATCATATTCAAGTGTTCAACCATAAATAAAATAAATAAATAAATGCTTCATTCCCGACAGCTCCACCGCGACCGAGATGACATCTGTTGAAACGCGCTTCATTATGCTAGTTTCGCAAAATACTCACATTGTCTAATCATGGGCGATTCTAATGTACCCTCAATTGTCCCGGCGACTTCGAGTGGTCCTTACTTCATATCAAAGATTTCGAAGTTATGGATACAGGCAGCTCTGTACAAACACGTGCACCGACCAACTAGACACCGCGGTTCAAATATAGCCATCGCTTCTGGATTTAATCCTAACCAACGAAGAGTTGATGATTGAGACAATTTCATACGATCCACCATAGGCAACGTGACAACTCAGTGTTGAATTTTGCCTATGTGTGTTACGCCAATACTACTGAAATCAGACATGAAAACCGACGAACTATAACCAACTATTCCGTGCTTCACAGCCTAGCGACAACCGTCAACTGGGACCTCAATCTGCAGAGCACGGCAGACGATGCGTGGAACGAACTAAAAGACAAAATTAGCTGTGTCACGCAAGCAGCCTCAAAAGTCATACCATTACGAGTGCCGCGCCGGACCAACACCTGGATCCGAAGCAGAACGCGTAAATGGATTAGCACCAGAGACGAGATCTGGAGACAATACGCGCTGAACAATTGCGACGCAAACCTGGGAGATTATACAAAATAGATGAGGAACTATTGCCACATCACAGAATAAGCCGATAAGATACGGATTGGCAAAAAACAAGGTACTTAACTTCACGATACAATGAACACAACTGCTCTGTACAGGTACGTGAATCAGCAGAGAAAGTTATAACAGGAATCCCACCATTCAAGACGGATGGTGGCCTAACGACTACTGCTGTGGATGCTGCGAACGCATTACTTCTGCAGTTTTGGCACAGGTGACTGCAAACGCCATAGAACCTTTGCCAATCCAGCATTCACCCAACGTGGTCGGCATATCAACTGTCACTTTTACCTCAGCAGCTGTCGCTAGCAAATTACGGTCTCTAAGAGAAAATAGCGCTCCGGGAGTCGACAAGATCAGACCCAAAGTTCTTAAAACTCTTGCTCCCACATAGCAGCACACCTCGCAAGCTTTTTCCAAATTCTACTCAATTCCCAAACACTTCCGTCTGAGTGGAAAAGCGGGATAGTCACTCCGATATACAAAGGAGGTAAGCGATCGGATCCTGCCAACTACCGACCCATTACTCTCCCCCCTGTTTTATCAAAAGTAATGGAATCGTTAGTTGCAGATGAAATTACACGATATTTTTGAGAGTCTGAAGCTAATTTCTCACCTCCAACACGGCTTTAGGCGCAACGATCTTGCCTCACAAATCTGCTTCTTGCTCGGGATTCATGGACCAAAGCGCTGGATGTAGGATCCCCCTTGATGTGATCTATCTAGACTTTTCGAAGGCATTCGACAGAGGTCAATCACTTAGCTCTGCTTCATAAGCTTCGTGCCTACGGTATCCATGGTTCCCTACTCACCTGGCTAGCAGCATATTTGCATGACAGAACGATCAAGGTCAGAGTCGCCGATGCCCTCTCGGAAACCCTCTGCATCTCCAGCGGTGTTCCTCAAGGATCCATCCTTGGTCCCCTCCTTTTTCTGGTCTATATTAACGACCTCGCCGATACTAATCAATCCTCGATGCAAATTTTTGCAGATGACGCAAAAAATCTGGAGAGTTATTTGCTCAACAGCAGACTGTGACCTCCTCCAGAATGATTTGGATCGAAGTCAACAAATGGGGCAGATATAAACCACCTCCCCTGAATCCTGCCAAGTGTCACCTACTGTCATTGCGCAGCAATCTTACCAACACGTACCTCTTGGGGGCAGTACTTTTTACGGCGCGTGACCACAGAAAGAGACTTAGGTATCATTGTGCAAGAAAGTCTGGGGAATTCGCTCCAATGTTCGAAAGCAGCAAACGTGGCGAACATGAATCTGAGACTTTTGAGGCGAGCTTTTGGGGTTTTTGAACGACGGTTGGTACCATGCTTGTCAACTCCTATATCCGTCCCCACGTCGAATATGCCGTCCAGGCTTGGTGCCCATGGTTAAAACGGGACATTCATCTCTTAGAGCAGCCCCAACGAAGAGCTACCAAGGCAACACGCGGATTATCTGGTCTCAATTATGAAGTGCGTCTCAGTTTAATCGGAATGTTTTCCTCCGAATACCGACGACTACGCGGAGATCTCATTCTCGCATACCGGATATTAACGGAAAGCGATCACCCGTGCAAATCGCTGCTCACCCTAGCCTCATATAAGCGATCGAGAGGTCATAACCTCAAGCTGATAATCCAACACTCCCGATTAGACTGTAGAAAATATTTTTACTCTCTTAGAATCTGTTCACAATGGAATGACTTGCCAACGCATGTGGTAAACGCTCCGAACATTACAGCCTTCAAACAATTGTTAGACATTCATCTGAGTGACAAACAACACATTGTGGTCT